CCCATAAAATTATTTTCATTGCTATTTCATAACTGTAATTTTGCTACTGTTATGAATCGGGTGACCCTGTAAAGGGGTCATTCGACCCCCCAAAGTGGTCGTGACCCACAGGTTGAGAACCGCTGTGACACAGACCAAGAGGCCATTGTTAGAACATAGCAACAGGATGCTGGGTGGTTTAAAATCAGGAAAGATGTGTGTCAGAGTTGCATCATTTCACCATAGCTAATTCGGTTTGTATGCTGAGCAAATCATTGGAAGAATACGTCATCAGGTTTGGAAGACAACTCCTTAACAACCTGTGATGTGCAGGTGACACAGCTTCTCTTGCTCAAAGTGTAGACATTTGAAACACTTGGTGGAGATTGAAGGCTATAGCATTCAACATGGATTTGACCTTGACATAAAGCAAACAACATTGCTCACAATTGGACCAATAGAGAATATCATGATAAGTGCAGATGATATGAAAGTTGTCAGGAATTTCATTTGACTTGGATCTACAAAAAATGCCACCCATGGAAGCCACAGTTATGAAATTCAGTGATCACGGTGGGTAAATTTGATGCAAAAGTCACTCCAAGGACTCGGGTGAGTATGACTCAAACCATGACATTCTCAGTTGCTTCCTGTTCACGGGAAAGCTGGGAAATGGATAAGGAAGACTGAAAACCAGATGCTTTTGAATAGCGTCATTTGGCAAGAATATTTAACACACGCTATACTGTCAGAATACCAAACGGATCTATTTTGGAAGAAGTCTAGGCAGACTGCTCCTGGTATTGAACTTGATGAGACTTCATCTCACATTACCCTGGGGATTGATCTCCGCAGAAATGTCTGGTCAAATGATGTCTCTAAGTGCCATCTAGCTCGTTCCAACTCATAGTCTCATAGTGACCCTGTGTTCAACAAACGGGAACATGGCCCAGTCCCGCACCATCCTCCCAATTGTTCTTATGTTTGAAGCCATTGTTGAAGCCATGGTGTCAATCTGTCTTGCTGAGGGTCTTCCTCTTTTTTGCTGCCCCTCTACTTTACCAAGCATGATATCCTTTTCCAGGGACTGGTCTCTCCTGATAATACATCCAAGTTACTTGAAACACCCTTGCATCCAAGGAGCACTCTGGCTGAACTTTTCCCCAGGAAGATGTGTTTGTTCTTTTGGCAATCCATGGTACTTTCAATATTGAATAATCTTTATAATCTTTGCCAGCACTACAATTCAAATGCATTGATTCTTCTTCAGTCTTACATAGACAATGTCCAACTTTCACACTCCTCTGAGGCGATCGAAAATACCATGACTTGGGTCAGGTGCACTTTGTCCTCAAAGTAACATCCTTGCTTTTCAATATTCTAAAGAAGTCTTGCGCAACACATTTAGCCACCGCATTGTGTCGTTTGATCTCTTGACTCCTGCTTTAATGAGCATTCAAGGCAAGAAGAAATCCTTGACAAAGTCAATCTTCTCTCCTTTTATAATGATGTGACCTCTTGGTTCAGTTGTGAGAGTCTGCTTTCTTTACAGTGAGTTGTAATTCATATTGAAGGCTGCAATCCTTGATCTTTGTCAGCAAGTGCTTGACATCCTCCTCATTTTCAGCAAGCAAGTTTGGGTCATCTGCATATTGAAGGTTGTTAATAAGCCTTTCTGAGGACACATTCTTTTTCTTATAATCCAGAGTCTCTGATGATTTTCTCAGCATACAGATTGAATGACGAAAGGACACAACATTGATGCAAACCTTTCCTGATTTTAATCCATTCAACATCTCTTTTCTGTTTGTACAACTGACTCTTGATCCGTGTATAGGTTCTGCATGAACACAATTAAGAATTCCCATTTGTCTCAAGGCTACGTATAGTTTGTTATAATCCATGTAGTGAAATGACTTTGCATACTCAATAAGACAACAATGAATAGCTTTCTGGTATGCTCTGCTCTTAGCCCAGAGTCATCTGACATCAGCAATGTTATCCCTTATTCCACCTCCTCTTCTGAATGCAGCTTGGATTTCCTGCAACTCCTTGTATATGTACTGCTGTACCCTGTGTTGGCGCTCTTCGTCAGCATTTTACTCGAATAAGATATTGTTTTAGAGTTTGTACATTCTTTGGGAAAATAGTGTCAACAAAAAGGAGGAACCCTCAAAAAATGTTTAAAAAGAGGAAGCCTCTCAGTGAGGTGGGTGGACTCGGTGACTGCCACAGGCATCCCGCACAGCGGCGACTCTGAGGAAGGGGCATGCCTGCAGTGTTCCTGTTCACTCTGGGGCTGCTCTGAGTCAGAGCCACGTGGACGGCATCTAATAACACCACAGCAATTTAAACCACTTCACTATATTGCCTTTTTCCTGAAATACGAATACTTAGGACTCAAGTATATTGAATACGTGGGCATAAATCATACACCTATGAATTAGAAAGGAAACTAAATGACAGGAACGAATTTAATTAGTTACAATTGCATACATTACTAGATACTATATATTTGCATATCATGCCAGTGGGTTATAGAAAAATAAACAAGCCATCCCATGTCTATAAAAACCTAGCGCTTAGGTATTATAAGTTGACTTTTGAAGAATGTGTGTTTTCTTTTTCTTCACCTCCTTTGACTGGGTGTCACCTCAGTTGGGCCTCAGATTCCACATCTGCTGAGGAGTGGGAATTATGAAATCTATTTCAGAGTGGCTCCTTTTCTTTCATAAACTCCAGTTTCCCTAACACACACACACACACACACACACACACACACACGCACACGTACACGCACACGCTCAC